GAAGAAGAAGAAGAAGGAGACGGCGAAGAAGAAGAAGAAGAAGAAGAAGAAGAAGAAAAAGAAGAAAAAGAAAAAGAAGAGGAAGAGGGGGAAATGAACAAGTGACTAGGGGAAAGAGGGATGAAACAGTAAACGTATGGCAAGATAAGCGCCAGTAACTTGAAAAGATATTCCGTAAACAACTCTGATGCGACTGAAGTAAGTCCGACGTCACCAGCCGGCAGCTTCGGCCTACCAGTAAATCTCAGGTGACTTTGATGACACAAGATCGACTTCCCTTCACTCATTACGCCTACCTAACCTTACGGACGCAGACATGGCTGAAAAAAACCAGACAGATTTGGTGAGAACAGATTTAAAAGGGCTTGCTCGAGTATATAAGTGCAAACAGCGACAGCAGGACAAGGGTCCCTCAACGCAAACATCGATTTCTCAAGTGGAAGCCTAGAACGGCATGACTTCCTCCCGGATCGTGTGATAATGAGCTACTGTGACTGATTAGAATAAAGGTAAGTAAAAATAGACTGGACAACATTTGTCATTTTATGACGAGGTTACTCACGTCGAGGCCGTACAGCCCAGCCTTTTGCCGTATCTCGCCTCATCTTGGGCTGCAGCAACTAGGCACGGCCTTCCATAGCTGTTGACTGGCGTCTGTCTGGAGCCGAATCCCTGCAGTCGGTACTGAAAGGTGCCATAGTTGGTCGTATCCTCGATGTAGTGCGTAACATAGCCTCCACGGCTGGCATATTCCTTCCAAATCCACGGAAATTCATCCAGCACCGTCCTGCTCGCCTTCTCACCCCTATTCCCCTCCTTACTCAGCGAGGCATCCAGGAGACCCACCTGGCCCGGCATCATTTCGGCCACAAACCGTCTGGCCTCAGGCAACTCCTGTTCAAAAAAGCCCGTCAACAGAGCCAGCAGATTTGCAGTAGTGCCATCTCCGACGACATTAAAAAGGTTGAAGATGCCTCCCCTGTGCTGGACCAGTCGTTGCAGCAGGTCCATTGTTCGAGGTAGATATCGCAGCCATGAGAGACGTGAGAGGG